GGAGATGGAATCTTTGCACACTCTGAATGACTTAGTTCAAGTTTATCCGTGATACGAATGATTTGTAAATCAATCTTTCTACACCGATCGGACATTACATTGGAAAGCGTTTCTCCCCTATATACAAGTATGAAATCAATGCTATTTATTGCTCATGCAAAATAAATGTATCGGTCTTACCAGCGAAGATTTATATATTCAGATGTATCATTAAATATTTCGCTCATTATCGGTGCAATCATCTCAATTGCATATTCGATTTCACTCATTTCTTGGCACTTTCCGGAGTTATCAACAAAAATAAAAGGTTTTCTTAAAAATTTGTCGATTCTAAAGTAAATTTAACAATATTAATTAACGAATAATGTAATTAAATCGAAAATTAAAGAAAAAACTCACACAAAAAAATAAATATTTGATATTTGTATTAACGTCTGAGAGGTATTGCTAGTTTTGATTTTATATGAATAATCTCGGGCTTCATTGTATTTGTACGCGCCACACATCTGATTATAGTCAAATAGACATAAAGATAAGTAAGCAAAGTAACATGTACACATGCTTAAAAGTTAGTATATGTAACTTTCCTCTTCAATGGTGCCTATTACATTTTCCACTTCCCCCTCGAAAGCTTTCGGCTTCATATCAATAATTTCATAAACCTTTTTTTTAATATTAGCCCAATCCTTCTCAAACCATGAACACATTCCGTCTTCGAACTCGGATGATAAATCAATTATTGAAGACAATCCTAACCTGTATTTACCATGTTAGAAATTTCTTATCAGTAACTTTGGAAAATATGAGACCATACCTGATGACACTTTTCGCAATTAGGGTTTGCTCTTTTTTGTCTTTTTTCGGAAATAGTTTAACCATTTCGGAAGTCTTACTATTAAGAGCTTTAACAAGATGCCGACCATCTAGTAATTTCCACTTGGAATCTCTTTTACTTTGATCAACATAATCGTCAAACGAAACGGTATTTATATCAAGACAAAATTTTTCTTCCTTATCCGAATTATCGTCTTCATCGGGTTCACTATCGGAACTTACTAAGATATAATGGGGCGGTGGGGTGTGATGCCGAAGATTAGGAGGAGAAGTGGTTACATGAGAGGCATCCTCGGCCGGTCTTTTCTTTTCTGGATGTGTTGTATTCGTCACACTCCTATTTTTAGTAGCTTCTGACGCTATGATCCCATTGTTCTGTATATTCC